CCATATTTGCATCCCTCTGCGGTTCGCGGTTACCAGTTTGCATCTAGGTTGGTTGTGATTAAACCGCTCAAACTCCGGTTTGAGGGGGAGAACTAGGCAACCGCTAGAGACTGAGTGAGAGTATCGATCCCGTGACAAATCGATCTCTAGCTAATCCATCCCATGACAAATGGATCACTAGTTGCTCCTCCTAGCGGTTCCCCTAGACTTGGTGAGTGGATCGATCCTGTGACAAATCGATCGCTAGTGAATTGATTCTGTGACAGATTGATCACTAGTTGCTCACCCCCGCGGTTCACAACCACCTACGCCACACTACTCCATTCAATCGAACGAGTCATGGTAGCTAGTTAGGGGGAAGAAACTCTTGGGTGAAGCTCCCTTAATTAGAGTTTTCCTTTATTTACTTTCCTTGCTTGTTTTCATTTGTAGTTTTCATAGTTTTAAACCCAAAACCGTTTTGCTAGATAACAACTTAAGCAATTGAAGTAGGGGTACATGGACCGGCCCGGGTTGACAATTTAAATACTTGCTCTATACTGCACCCGCCTAGAGTTTAAAAACTTGGGCTCTAGTTGGGATTAATTTGTGGTGTACTTTTGTGCGAGTCAAGTTTTTGGCGCCATTGTCGGGGAACCGCGGTTCATTATTTTGAAAAGGTCGCTTAGTGTTACTCTAGCATTTTCTATCTTTCCTTTTTGTTTGTGTTTTGTGTTGTGTTTTGTTTACCCACTCTTCGTCTTGAAGGGTGGTTTGTGTTTGTTTGATTTTCTTTTTGTGTTTTTCTTTGTGTAGGTTATGAATCATGAATCCCAATGGCTTCTAAAATATGTGGGGGTCCACAACCACCCTAATGGGGGTACCCCGGAGCTTCATGGAGTGAACAAGAAGGGGGAAGCCAAGGATCCGGGTTCTATTACCAACCCCCCTTCCAAGACGAACAACCATACCATTGGGGATATGAAGAGGCTTCCCCATGTCAAGAAGATTTCCCTCCACAACCCGAGGATAAATCCAAGTTGGAGTTGGCTATGGAAGCCTTCATGGGACAATCATCAAGACCATGTGCCACTCCACAACCGGAGCCAAAGAGAAACTGGGAGATCATGGTGGAGCAATTTTCCCGGGGTACCGACGAAGGATGCTCCAATTCGGATCTTCCCATCACCGTCCCTATCGACTCAACCTTTCTTCGGGAATCGGATGAGCTCCTTCAACGCACGAAGAGGCGCGGAGAGCTTATCGTGCAAGCATGTGCACAACTTGCTCACCATCGCCTCCTACCATTGGAAGAAAGAGAGGAAGTCGAAGAGGCAAGCCATGAGACCTTTGGAAGAATGAGCTCCGACATGGATTTCCAACCCCTCCCTCCTTCCGGTTTGACACTAGAAGAGAAAGTGGCACGAGCTTGTGAAAGCTATCGCCTATCATTATTGGAGGAGAAAGAGGAGGTTGAAGGAGAGATCAATGACAACCGTGTGGAACAAGAAAAACTCACGCCGGAGAGCTCCCGTGGCGAGGATGAACAAGAAGCTTGCATTGATGACTCCCATCACTTTTCCCTTCCCGAAAGCAACATTGAAGACCAAGACACGAGTGTGGAGGAGCAAGAGAATCCCTTCTATGACCTTGTATTGCATTTTGCCCTCAAATTTATGCTTGGAGACATGAATGGGATGGAGAAAGAAGAGGTTGAAGAGGAGGAAGAAAGCATTGAAGAGGGGGAAGATCTTGAGGGTTCCCAAAGGGAGGAAATTGATGAAGAAGAAAAAGAAGGTTCAAGTGGAGTCCAAGATGAGGACGAGGTCGAGGTGGATGAAGCATCCACAAAGGCAGTGAACCGTGAACTACCGTGAACAAAGGCAGTGAACCGTGAACTCGAGTGAACGATGCGGCGTGTTTTGGCGCACGCCTGCAGTTCACGGACACGTTTCAATGTTCACGACCATGAACTGATGTCTTCTAAGACCATGAACTACTCAACGCGTCCTTGAACTCAGCTCTAAGACTTTGAACTGAGCCTGATTTGGGTATAAAAGGAGAGGGGAACTGAAGGAGAAGGAGAGAGTTGGTTTTTGGGAGAAGAAACATTTTCTTTCTCTAGGGTTTCAACCTAAACACCAAAGGGGAGTTCTAGTGAGAGAGAGAGAGAGTGTGTGTGCTAGAGTGATCTTGGAGCATCATTGGAGGCTTGGGTGGAAGATTCAAGCCTAGAAGAAGAAGAAGAAGAAGAAGATCTTGAGCTCAAATTTGTAATCCCTCCCTCTCTCTAGAAACTCACTCTTTTCTCTTGGGTGTTGTAGACCCCTAACTAATACTTTGTAATTACTTGTTTAGTAATGATTAAGTGTGGGTTTGCATCAATTTTAGTACTAGAGGTGCTTTCATGGTGATTGTGCATGATCGTGCTTAGCAATCTAAGGGTTGTGCATGTATTGTGCTTAGCACCCTTAGGTTTGTGCATGTAGGTGCTAGCAATCTAATTAGCCACCTTAGCCTAGCTTAGAGAAGAAAATCCCCCTTCTAAGGGAAACTCAATCGAGTTGGTTTTCCTTCCGCTTTCTAAGCCACCTAACTAGGTTAAGTTAGGGAAACCCTCAATATTGAGTTAAGCAAATCGATTAATCGTGATTAAGCCGTCCGACCTTAGAGTTGAATGTGGGAGTAAGTCAACTACCGATTGTATACACAGAGAGGGTCGAGTGACACGGCCTTTCATGCTTACCTCTGTCTAGCAATCGAGATTGTGGTCTACGAACATATTTGCATCCCTCCGCGATTCGCGGTTACCAATTTGCATCTAGGTTGGTTGTGATTAAGCCGCTGAAACTTCGGTTTGAGGAGGAGACCTAGGCAACCGCTAGATACTGAGTGAGAGGATCGATCCCGTGACAAATCGATCTCTAGCTAATCCATCCCGTGACAAATGGATCACTATTTTCTCCTCCTAGCATTTCCCCTAGACTTGGTAAGTGGATCGATCCCGTGATAAATCGATCGCTGGTGAATTGATTCCGTGACAGATTGATTACTAGTTGCTCACCCCCGCGGTTCACAACCACCTATGCCACACGACTCCATTAAATCCAAGAGTCATGGTAGCTAGTTAGGGGGAAGCCACTCTTGGGTGAAGCTCCCTTAGTTAGAGTTTTCCTTTATTTACTTTCCTTGCTTGTTTTCATTTTCATTTGTAGTTTTCATAGTTTTAAACCCAAAACCGTTTTGCTAGATAACAACTTAAGCGATTGAAGTAGGGGTACATGGACCGGTCCAGGTTGACAATTTAAATACTTGCTCTATACTGCACCCGCCTAGAGTTTAAAAATTTGGGCTCTAGTCGGGATTAATTTGTGGTGTAGTTTCGTGCGAGTCAATTCGACTGCCGTTCGAGTGCCCCGATTTTGGGTGGGCAGGCCGATATTCAATCGGCCGACGAATCTGTTTGAGGGGAAGGGGAACATCTTGCCCATGTACAGCGTCAACGAGAATCTGTCGTTGGCGCTCTGCTTGGAGACTTACGCCATGGAGAATTACAGGAAAACATTTTATTAAGTGGATGGGTGAAGAAGAAGAAGGACAGGGGAATTTGATTCTGGGTTGGGGTTAATTTGCTTGATTTGCGTGTCTTCTAATAACATCTCTCGATTGATTCAGCAATCAGCATTACCATCTCATGTTTCGGTTAGAAATGAAGTAGAAAATATATAAATTAAATTATTTTTTAATTGCCACGTCATATATTTAACGGTCAACTATAAAAGTTGACTGCCACATAAGCAAGAGTTAATGGAGTTGGACGGAAAGTGACCAAACTTGAACCATTTAACTAATTTTTTTTGTCAAAGTCAGCGGGAACAAATAGTTAAACAGAGGAAGAAAGAAAAGCGCGGGAGTCGACCAATCGTCAAACTCCCGATGAGAGGGCTGTACGTGCCACAAGATGGGCGGCCCTATTGAGTCGACGAGAAACAAATAAATCCAACTGAATTGGGAACAGAAACCCCTCGCATCTTCCAAAACGGCACCACTCCGGTCATGCGTCAAATCTCCCGCCATCCGTCGTATCAGTTGTTGAGAGTCCCCATGAAATTTAACAGAAACAAACATGAACATTTTTTGTAATCTCAGTGACCAACCATGCAATTAACCCCAATGTTTGATGTCTAAAATGTCATATGCTTGTTAGATTTGAGCAAGGTTCAAAAAGGCGCTAGGCGTAAAGCGAGCGTTGAGACTTTGCCTAGCGCCTTGCTCGCCTAGGCGTAGACTAAGCGTGCCTAGGCGTTGAAAGAACAATAGCTACTCGCACTGCATGATCAATAAAATAATAATCTACAACACTTCCTCATTTAAGCTAAAATAATTAATAACTTACTCAACACTTAATGACAAAAAACAGCTTACGAATTCATAGAATCATGGCTCAATAGCTCGCAAAGTTCTTGAGCTATTGGAAATATTGATATAGAAAATTGATTTCGTATTTGATGTTAATTTTCTCCTTAATATTGACTTTCTAACTCTATCTAATAATGTTTAGGAGAGACTTATATGTCGACTTACTCCATTGACATGTTTCAGTATCTTATTAGGTGCGAAACCCCTAGGCAAGGCGTTTTGCCATTGCCTTGCGCCTAGGCGTGTCTAGGCGTAAGGTTAAGCGTGCCTTTTTGAACCATGGATTTGAGTAATAGATTTGTAACCCAATTCCCAACAATAATGGATTTGTCTACAAATCTCGCGTTTTTCTTGTTTGCTTGATAAACTTCAAATCGTTGAAATACACTGATTTGAACTCCTTTCCGAATCCAAATTCATGGATTCCACAAACTAATAAACCCATACGGCTCCTTGTTGAAACTTGTTACGTTGATTATGCACGATTCAAGTTAATGGAAAGAATTGGCGGTTTATTTCCTTGTGGTTTTGAAACATTGAGCCTAGATCAAGGTGTTTGAAATTTGAATGCTAGTTTGTATCGAGTTTGTACCAAAATACGTAGATAACTTGCTATTATATACGATATGAACCTAGCTCTGGATTGTTAAAAAAAAAACTAGTTCTGGAGGCCCACTAATGAAACCACAGTCCACAGCCCAGTCTGAACTCTACCAATACTTTCTTACGAGCATCAGCTCTGACATAATTCAGGTACCAGAAGAGAAGACCTCGATTACGGGCTTAACATAAGACCAACAACAAAGTGCAACCCTGAGTAAGATGAAGAGTAGACAGAGTGCATTCAGTATTCACCAAAGTATGAAACAGGCAAAACTTCAGGATTACTATAGCATCAAACAGATCTCTCTCAGTAATACAAATGAGTTCCAACCACTTAAACCAAAATGCAAAACTTGAACTTAAATCGGTAACTCTACTCAACAAAACCCTCCAAACTCCTCAAATAAGAGATTACATGCCAGTGAATGCTTTCTTGCCACCGCCAGAAGAACCGGCAGGAATCACTTTCAGGACATTGAACCTTACAGTCTTGGACAAAGGCCTGCAGCAAGAATCAACATATATGTGTAGTTACAATACTAGGCATCATTTGATGTTTCATTGGAAGGGAAGTTTTCTGCTTTTTATAATAACTCGGAATGCAAGAGAGAACCTCTAACCTGCATTGACCGATAGTAACATGATCTCCCTCCTTCACACGGAAGCATGGGGACACGTGTGCAGGGATGTTGGAGTGCCTCTTCTCATACCTGAGCAAAAATATATATGAATGCATCAGATAAGCATGATCCTTGCGCCTCAGTGCCTCACATAACATAATTCCGACTATATTAGACGCAAAACACTCACCTCTGGTACTTCTTCACATAATGAAGGTAATTGCGCCTGACAATGATGGTTCTCATCATCTTTGCACTGTGGCAAGTACCAGCAATGATTCGGCCTCTGATAGAAACCGTACCAGTGAATGGGCATTTCTTATCAATGTATGTGCCTGCATAGACAAAATTGAATCAGCTATACAATCAGCCAATTGCTGTAGCAACAGCGGGTATACAATGTCACACAAACTTGAACACCTCATCCATTTCCTAACCCCCAACTTCCATTCCTCACATTAGCTTATTCAGACATATATCAAATTAAAGAACAAGACTGATAAGGAAATTTCAAGACTTACACATATACGGCAGAAACAGGTTCATAGTGCTTAACACACTGGCAAAGAGAAATGAAAAGGCTAGCTAGCATTTGATCCAATCGGAAACAATAGACTGAAATTCAAAGCAACCCTTTTGTGGTTCAGGAGGGCTTATAAGGCCATTTCAAGAATAACACCTACACGGCAGAAATAAGTAGCTAAAAAGTAGTTGGGTATTGGATTTCACAAGCATCATATCCCTAACAGTTTAACCGTATCAGCAGGCAAAAAAAACACTCTCATTTGTACCAAATGAGAGTAGTCACCCCTACAATATGGTAAAGAGAGCATAAACAGACCTTCAATTGCTTCTCTGGGAGTCTTAAACCCCAAGCCAATGCTCTTCCAGAAGCGGTTCCCGCCCTTCCCAGGCCTCTTCCCTTTCCCAGTCTTCTTAGAGCTGTAAAACAAAGCAAAAAAATTGGAATCCCCAAAATAACCAAGTACCAAAACTCTGACGAATGAAGCAGAATACAAACAAAGTAGAAGCGAAAAGCTTACCTGAGGAAAACCTTGGGCTGCTTCAGAAAAGCCTTCTCAGTCTGCCACAAGAAAGATCAAGCACAATAAAAAGCGATCAGACTAACAACCATTACCAGGGCGAAAACAGAAATAGACAGATTCGGAGGCAGCGAACCTGCTCGGCCATGGTTGCGGGACCGTAGAAGTGCCGACTGACGGAGAGCAGAGGGAGCAAAGACGCCTACGCCGCCGAGCGAGTGCAGAGAAAAACCCTAATCCAAGGAGAACGATTGCTTAACGCACTCTAGAGATCCAATTTATGCAACTGCATGAATCTGGCAAGACAAACTTATTTGGGCTAGCCTAGCAGCAGCTTCGGTAACCAAACTAGCCTAGGAAAGGCCATTCGTGGGCCCACTAATAACAACGGCGACTTCCAACATGCCCAATATTCAAGCCCAAGACGGTGCGTACGTAACTTAGGCATCAATCCAAGTCGTATCTGTAGGTGGTCGAGCGCGAGACCAAACTCCCCTTTTCTTCTGATTTATGCTCTTCGAGTTTTCTGCAAGAACCCTAATCGAGCTAGAGGAGATCAAGTGTTGAAATCACGAAAAGGAAAAAAGAAAATGTTAAAATTAAAAGAACTAGTATTTTGTTTCAGAATAAAATCCAACTGAAGCTTTTATTCGGGCTGGGCTTCAGTTTATTTCTTGGTTTTGTTTAAAGCTTATACCGAGTGGGCCTAGATTGAACCAAGCCCAACCAACGTTGCTGACTGTCTTCCCCAAAACTCAGACTGCAGCTCCCATGTTTCAGCTTCAACCTAGCAACAACAAAACAGAGATCACAGCACAAACGCAGGAAAGAACAGCAATCATAATTTTACGTGGTATCCGATATTGGGAGAATAAGTATCCCAATATCGACTAATCCACGGTAGGAGATTCTCCTCTTGAGATCTCTTACGTAACTACTAAGATTTTCCACTTGTTCTTCTTTACAAGTGCAAACAGAATTCGCCAAGCTCCCTGCCTAGCCAACAAAATCTGGTCTGATGTATCCACTCCCTGTTTCTACACTCAGACCCCTTGCAAATCTCCCTGACTTGTTTTCACGATTTTTCCCTCAAAAGACTTCTATTTGATCTCACAAAAGACAGCTTTTGTTCTCTTGAAAAACCGCGCACTGCTTCTTCTTTTCATCCATCTTTTATAGTCTGTTTGTCCTGCCTTTAGCCGTTGGAGAGTGATTTGGGTTTGATTCCCATGATCAGCTGTGTCTTTCCTTCTTGAGACTTGCCTCTTTTTGTTCTTATTGATTTCTTTGATTCTTTCCTTCTTTGCCATTGACAGGCTTCCTTCAACATGCTCCCCCTAAGCTTGTCAATGACTCATCCTGCTGCAGTCATATTCTCTGCACACACTTAACACACACTTGGTGCAGTCTGTTCTATATACGAGGATTAAAGTAATGCAAGAAGGAGCTTTAATTTATTTCATTCAATCAGATTCTCAAAAGAGCCATATTCTAAATCAAACACAAACACACGATCACAAATGATCAAACACAAACACACGAACACTAACGATACACTTGACTACAGCCACCTAATCCTTGAAGAACTACTACTCGACTCAAAGAACTATTGCTCCCCCTGCGAAGAGTAACTAGAATTTTAGAAAGGGTAGTTGGGGGTGACTCATATTCTGAGATATCATCTCCAGAATCCGAGTCAGAAGATATAGGATCAAAGTTATCAGGAGCAGGCATAGCTTCACCAGCTTCCAAGAGTTCTAGGCCTTCTTTGCACACTTGAAGTTTGGTAGTTGAGGCATTTCCAGCCTCCTTCCCGCGTTTAATCTCATTCTCCACTGCTGTAACAGTAGCGTGAGTCAGTCCTGCAACCAAGCCACTGGTGGCATCATTTGCAGAGAACACATGAGCAGCTACTCCCCCTGAGTCAGAGACAAGCTTGCGACTACCAACGTCGGCATCCAGTCGATTTAACACATGATTAGGACGCAGACCGTCATGGATATTGCAGATAGCAATCTTGTTGCGGAGATATGTTCCAAGACGATAGAGATAGCGAGTGATTAGTGGACCAAAAAGGAAGAGGGCCACTATAGCTACCGTTCCCAAAGCTGATCATGTGTGCAAACACAAGAGAGGCATAACTAATAGGTTGTCGGGCATGGGCGTTGGACAAGATCCAGAGTTCAGCGGCGTGGAGGATCGTTGCACTGGATATGTCACGAGGAAAAAAGCATCTGGTGACAAAGAAGTGGAGGACTTTTAGATCATCAGGAAGGCGCCCTGCAGCGAGCTGAGTTGGAAAAGGTCGCCCAATGTCACGGGTCAACTGATTCAGAGCAGTAAAGAAGTCAAAGCCAAGTTCGACAAACTCATCATCAAAACCAGCCTGAAGGCCAGAGTGAGGCAGAGCAAGGACAGAGGCGAGAAGATCTGGGCTGACAGTAACTTCATGATCATGCACGAGAGTGGGGAAGAAATTAGAACCAGCTCTCCATCCACGCCGAAGATTGACATAAACTGTCTAACAGATTCGGGACAGTGAAGGAAGCGTTGTTCTTCAGTTAACGAGGACTAGCCAATCCCTAAAAGGAGGGATGGAATATCCATCCCATACTTGGTGAAAGCAGAGGGATGAATAGTGAATGATGGATAGATGGACCGATCTCGGAAACTGCGCAGGTACCTATTGTGAACAATGGTACTGCAGAATCCTTGATTTTTGAATACTACAGCAGGGGGAGTTGGGAGTTGTTGAAAGCCATTGTCTTGGGAAAGGTTTTTGGATCAGTGTGTGACAATGAAGTGAGATGTGAGAGTTGCCCTAGTTATAGAAGGGATTGATAGGTCAGGTTTGGAAGGTGTATCAATTATAGCTGGTAGCCAGAGACTGACTGCATGATTTATCGTAAGAAGGATGGAAGGAAAGGCTGAGTTAATAAGGTAATCAAGATGGCGCAGAATCTTAAGAGATATCCTCTATCTCTTCTAGTGAGAACATACCAAGTTCTCGACGAATGGGTAAAAATTTGTCAGCGGGTAATGGTTTAGTAAAGATGTCTGCCCATTGATGTTCAGTACCTATGAAATGGTATCGAACTTCTATATGTTTGGTTCGAGAATGCTGTATATGATTCTTTGTCATGTTGATAGCACTAGTGTTATCACACATAACAGGGAGAGATCCTAGTTGAATGCCATAGTCTTCTAGCTGATATTTCATCCATAAAAGCCGAGTACAGCAGAAACCAGTTGCTATATACTCTGCTTCCGCAGTGGATAAAGCAACTGAGCTTTGCTTTTTGCTAAACCAAGAGATTATGGAGGTACCTAGGAAGTGACATGCACCAGAGGTGCTTTTCCTATCAATTGTACAACCAGCATAGTCAGAGTCAGTGTAACTGACTAAATCTAAACTGGAATCACTAGAGTACTAGAGCCCAAGAGTTGAGGTTCCAGCTAAATATCGAAAGATATGCTTAATTGCAGAAATATGACTTTCTTTGGGATTGCTCTAAAACCTAACACACACACACACACACACACACACACACACACACACTAAACATGATGTCTGGGCGACTAGCAGTAAGATACAGAAGTGACCCTATCATACCCCTAAATTTTTTGATATCTATTGGTTTCCCAGCTTCATCTTTGGTTAACTTAACAGAGGACCCCATGGGAGTGGAAGCTTCTTTTAAGTTGTCAAAATTGAAGCACTTTAGCATGTTGTTCAAGTATTTAGATTGACTAATGAAAATGCCTTTATTGGTTTGTTTTATTTGAAGTCCAAGAAAGTAGTTTAATTCGCCCATAAGACTCATTTCAAAGACATTTTTCATATCGTTTTCAAATTCTGCACAGAGCTGCTGGCTTGTTGAGCCAAAGATGATGTCATCTACATACACTTGCACCAAAAGAGTATGTTCATTTTCATTTTTGATGAACAAGGTTTTATCAACCTGTCCTCTACGAAAGCCTTTCTCTAATAGAAAGTTACTAAGCTTTCATACCAGGCTCGAGGAGCTTGCTTAAGTCCATACAGTGCTTTATTGAGTTTATATACATAGTCAGGATGTTCGAAGTCCTCAAACCCAGGAGGTTGTGAGACATACACCTCTTCTTTTAAATCACCATTTAAGAATGCGCTCTTGACATCCATTTGGTACAATTTAAAATCTCTAGAGGCTGCATAAGCACATAGAAGACGAATTGCTTCTAACCTAGCTACAGGAGCAAAGGTTTCATCGAAGTCAATTCCCTCTTCTTGACAGTAGCCTTGAGCTACTAATCTGGCTTTGTTTCTAATTATGGTTCCTATTTCGTCAGTTTTATTTCGAAAAACCCACTTTGTTCCAATAATGATTCTATCTTTAGGTCTGGGGACTAAGTCCCAGACTCGAGTCCTAGCAAACTGGTTCATTTCATCATGCATAGCAGCAGACCAATATTTGTTATTTATAGCATCTTCAATATTTTTAGGTTCAAATTGAGCTATAAATGCTGTATGTCCAGTAAGATGTTTGGATCTAGTGATCATACCTTGACTGAGATTTCATATGATGAGAGAAGGAGGGTGTCGTCGAGCTATATGAGGTGGAGCTTGACGATCCTGCTCTTGTTCTCCTTCATATTTCTCCTTTTCCAGTGATACATCATCTTTCTCTGGAGCATTCTGAGTTTTATCAATTTTGTTTGCTGTTCCCAGTCCAAAGTCATCATCCTCATCTAAACTTTCTGCACACTTGCCACAAGATTCATCAAATATCACATTGATGGACTCCTCAACTTTGAGGATCCGTTTGTTGTAAATACGATATGCCCTGCTATTTGTAGCATAACCAAGAAAGATTGATTCATCTGATTTTGAATCAAATTTTCCTAAGTGATCTTTTGTGTTTAGAGCAAAGCACTTACAACCAAATGGGTGAAAGTAGTTCAGATTTGGTTTCCTATCCTTCCAGAGTTCTTAAGGGGTTTTATTTAGTTTTGGTTTAATAAGAGCTCTGTTAGTGACATAGCAGGTTGTATTAATGGCTTCCCCCAGAATTGTTTTGGTAGGCCATAGTCACACAACATTGTTCTTGCAATGTCAATTAGTGTTCTGTTCTTCCTTTCTACCACCCCATTTTGCTGAGGTGTTCTAGGTGCAGAGAAGTTATGAGATATACCCTTTTTATTGCAAAAACTTTCATCAGAAATAAATTCACCTCCATGATCACTTCTTATGCTCACTATTCCTGATTGTTTTTCATTTTCAACTCGTTTAACAAATTCCTTAAAGTT